GGTATGAACTTTGATTACTTTTGTGTTTTGACTCATCTTCACGATATGATTATGGGATTCAACTGTAGTGGTTTCATTAATAAGGACACCCTCTCATCCTAAAAGGCATTGGCATGTGCCCTTTTTAGCAAAATCGCCAAAGATACGGAAGTTGACTTCAACTTGACTGTTAAACAGAAACAATTTTTGAGTGTGTTCGGGCACCTCATGCTCGTGATTTTCTGCTATCTAGCCCTATTGATGGCCCCGACCAACATATGTGTCATGTGGAGCACCGAACTATCATTCTTTACCGCCTCATGATTCCTCTATTCCCGATTGACGAGAGATGCCTAGTTTGCCACAAAGACATGTTTGGACACTTTTGGGAACATGCGGTTCATTGTAGAGAGCTCCCTGGTTTTAAGTACCGACATGATGTGGTTAGGGATGTTCACTTTGATGCTTTTCGGCGTGCTGGTATTTCAGTGAAGGAAAAAGTGTCAGTGAACTTTTTGACGCACCCGTTGGATGAAAGATTCACACTCAGGTCAGCTGATATTTTGGTCTTTGAATGGGTAGGAGGGAAGCACGCTTGTGCAAATCTTACCGGGGTCTCCCTTCTCATCGATTTGAGAAGCGGGAGTTTCACAGCAGGGCATGCTACTTTGAATGTTGATGTATGCAAACTGACAAAGCACAAGAATGCATTCATAGAAAATCAACATGTGTTTATACCTTTTGCTTTTTATACCTTCGGTTTTCTCGTGCCAAAGGCAATGGAGCTCCTCAACAGAGTCCAACGGGTCATGCATTTTAATATTGTATCTCCTAGATCCACATATGTTGTTTCAAAAGATTTAGTTTTGCCATCCAAATTGAGCCAACGGCGCAACTTGTTGTCCGTTTGCCTTCCGTCGATATGTATTGACTCTAATCAAAATTAATAAGAGATGACTAATGAAAAAAAATGTTTAATTTAACTTATTAGATTAGGTTGAGATTTTTAGCTCATTTAATTGAGCAAATCACATTGAACCAAACCCTTTTGGTTGCCACCCCTAGTAATGTGTGTAGTTGGTGGCTAATCTACACCAATCCGGTTTTTATTTTGAAAAGTTATGGTGTTAAGGCCTACTAGATATTTTTTTTTATATCTATTTTGAATATGTTTTATTGCTAATCCGCTAGTCCTCTTTTTCTGCGTTCAAAAAACATCGTGAAAAGTAATCAACTTCGTGGACTTGATTCATGTATGATCGTCGCTCGACTGATTAAGGCATTTGGTCTATTTATGTTCCAAGACACGAGACCAAATCTTGATAATATATATATATATATATATATATATATATATATATATATATATATATATTTTCAAACAAGCTTGTGGAAGCTATTAAATTTAGAGGTGAGAAGAATCTCAACGCAATAAGATGATACATAAGACATGTATACCGAAAGGTGTGAATTTTAATCTTGGACTTTTCTTTTTTCTAAAATTCTACTTTGTTAAGCGGATTGTTTAAAGAAAGAAATATACATTACAAAGATCGAACGCAACAGTCAAATTAAGGAGCATGTGTATTACCCAATTATTCTAACCTCAACTCGTGAAATAAATGGAACGTCGGTGAATACTAATTAAACAGCATTTAGTTATATACGGAGGATTGGAACAATAGCATTTTGTATATATGATTTTGTATATATGGTAGTGAGTTTAATAGTATATTTGTTTTTTCCCTTTTGGTTCATCGTTTTATCATCTCACCTCTATAAATTATAATTTAAGGATATTTGAATAAACGTCATATATCAACTCTTAATATAATACATCAAAAACTGGGAAAAGAAATTCCCCTTAATAAATATATTAAATAAACAAAAAGACTGAAACAGGTCATAATTGTGATAAAACATCAATTATCGAGCTGGGAGCATTTTTAATAGCAATAGATTTAGCCACAAAAAATTTGGCCCATGCAGGTCTCGAACCTGCGACCTTCGCGTTATTAGCACGACGCTCTAACCAACTGAGCTAATGGGCCTTGTTGTCTTAGTTTTTTCTGCTTCTCATAAATCAAAAATATAGATGGAATGACAACGTGCAAATTTAGTCATACCCAGAAAAAGGAAAAGAATATATATATATATATATATATATATATATATATATATATATATATATATATATATATATATATATATATATATATATATATATAGAGAGAGAGAGAGAGAGAGAGAGAATTAAACTAGTCATTAGTATCCCTATCCCCTTTATCACTTCACTTGTTTTGGCGAATAGATTTTTCGTACTCCAGTTTAACTAGTATTTTAAAAAAATATCTCCTATACATACTACGAGTCTTTATTTCAAATTCTTGTTCTTAATACTCCAATTTAACTAGTAGTATTTTAAACAAACCTCGTGTACACATGAATCTTCATTTCAAACTCTTGTTTATAAAAAGTGGTCAAATTTTGAAACCGAATGTTACATAAAGTCAACTAGGAATAGATGGCATCCTCTTAGCTCTAGGTAATATCTCTACTTTCATACCACACGAGTGCTTTCATTCCCAACCCCCTCTTTTTATAATTGGCTATTCCTTATTGGCATTTCAAAACAAAATCTTTCATGATCCATGTGACGTTGCTTGCTCTAGATTCTGAGCAAGGGAAGATGGATGGGCTGACCATGAGGCTTGTGATGGTGCGCGATAATAGTTTTGAATTGAGTTTCGTTTGATAGTACTTTTATAATAGACTTTTCACTAGATTTAGGGCAGAAGCCTGAAAGTCCTCGCAAGCATGGAAAGAAATAAAACGATGCAGAGAATTAATGTGATTCGGTTGATGTGACATACATCTAAGAGCAAGAACCAAAGAACGTTTATATTACTCTTGATTTTTTCAAAGTGATTACATTGGAGTCTCTATCTATGAATACTTAAGCATAGACTCTAGCAACTATAGGGTCAAAATCATATACAATTAAATCTGTAATAACTAAAAACGTATATACTCGTCAAAGTATTGGTTGAGAAGCCGTATGCTAATTACGAAAAAGTACCCTTGAATTATCACATGCTCAACAAAGTAGTCATGTATGAGACATTGTGGGCAGACTCACAGTCTATATATTTTTTTGGTTTTTTGATGTGAACTTTCGACTTCCTCATTGCTTGAATATCAATCATTATCTCCAAAGGTTTTGCAACCCTTCACCGCTTGCATCACCAATTCCAATGTTATCGAAGAGATGACGACAATTTAAATGAAATTAACGAAATAATAAAAGTATTGGTATGGTGTAAAATATAAATGTATGGTTGGTTGATTTTTATATTAGATTTAAAAAAAAAAAAATAGCAGTTAACCAAGTATAAGGAGGAGAAAGAACATGGGGCCCTTTTCTCACTCCTTCTAGTCTAAATCTAAATAGAGCATATCTAATGTTTCTCTGGTAAGTACATGGGGCCCTTTTCATGCCAAGGACTATGAGGAAACCATAAATGTTCAATTAATATTATATAATAACCATACGGTTCCCCTACTTTTCATTTTTAAGCGACCCTAACAAGAAAAAGCTACAACATAATTAGTATATTTTAATCATGCACATTAACTAACAATGACATGTGTACTTCATATTCCATACCAGGTGGACATAGTAACATATACCATGATCCGGAGGTCCAAATATATGTCTCGAGGTCCAAATATATGTCATTAACATAATTATACTCCAAAGTTCGTTATTGCATAACAGTCAAAAACCGAATCATCATTCTATGTAAGTATAAAAATATGAGGTGCAAGATCCAACAACCTTCTTTTTACAAACCAATATATATGTTTCGTCCAACATGGAACGACTCATACCACCCTACATGTCCTAAAAAATGAGGAAACATGCCTATAAAAGGGCATGTGTTGTACAATACACATTGATTATATTACTTTAGACGATACATATCATTAATCATGATGATTCAATCATACTTCCAACATTACGTATATGGAACATTTCAAGAAAAGTCTTTGTTGTACTATCCTCTTGAACGAGTACTTGAGAATTAGAATAAACTCTTAACAAACATCCCAGGGTTTGTCTGATATTTTTGTGTTGCTGTTAAACCTAACAACCATCAGTATCCTAATTAGTACGTGAAAACCCCAATAACATCAACTGATGGTTAATTTTAAATCAAATAACATTGTTTTGACATTTCTTTATTATTACTTTTGTGTCGTATTGAAAATATATATATATATATATATATATATATATATATATATATATATATATATATATATATATATATATCATGTCAGATCATAAATCTCATATTGAACTACAATTTCTATCAATTTATTTAACAGTTACATCTCGAATAAATATATTAGTTAACGGTCATATTTTCAATGGCGATAACATTCTTTTTATCTTTTGAGAGGGTAAAAGGACTTTTGGGAAAAGATATCAGAGAAAAAATATTTGGTAAAAGTTCCTTTTGGATTTTTTATAGAAGGAAAACTGACTTTTTGAAAAAGTCTGACAAAGCATCCCAAAGCTCACACTCTTGTGAAGTATCAATGTATCATTCTTCAAATCTTAGATGACTTTTCAATGCATCTTGTTATTATTAAACAAATAGAAAGACACTATAAATCATTTGTATCATAACTCCGTCTGTGAGATTCAAGTATAGTTTTCTTTGTGGTTACTTTTGGATAAAACCGTTTGAGCTAAATTGTCATCAAGTGTTACCAAGATTACAAAGCCTAATAGAACTTCGAGGGCATAAAAGTAAGAAAACTACAGGGGGGCTGTTCTACGAATTATTTATTCAGAAAGGGCAAACGTGAAGTTTGCCAAAATATCAGGGGCAGAATATAACAAGTTACCATTTTCCCCATCGCAGACACAACGGCTAGTGATTTGAACGGTAACCCTCCAACGGTCAGATAATTCAAAATAAATCTCAGCACTCAAAAACTCGCTAAATTCCACCGCCTCTCCCCTCTTCCTCCTTCATCTCTTTCTCTTTCTCTACCTCAAACCCTCCGCCGTATCTCTCTCTTTTTCTCAGCCTCCGCCACCATTATTACTGGTTATATCACTCTCACTCTGCAAATCCACATATCTTCTAATAAAGATTAATCTTTTTTTGAAGTAACCCTTCAAAAAATCAAATCAATCAAGATGATGCAAGATATGTGGAACGCTCCGCCGGGGTTCAGAACCACCAAATCGGCGCCGTCATCGCCATTAAAACCTCTGGGTGCTGGGGTATTGAGGACTCGGTCTGAGTCGTTTAATTTGAATCCAACTCGATCCGAGTCCATGATTTCAAACTTGACTCGGTCTGACTCGTTGAACTCGAACTCAACTCGGTCTGAATCTTTCCATGTTACCCACAAGGTCCCAGTCGGTGATTCTCCTTATGTCAGAGCGAAAAACGTTCAAGTAAGATTACAATAAACACAATCTTTTGATTTGTTATTATAGGGTTTGTAGATTTTGATTGATTTATATTGAAAATTTTATTATGTAGTTGGTAGAGAAGGATCCGGAGAGGGCGATTCCGTTGTTTTGGGCAGCCATTAACGCCGGAGATAGAGTGGATAGTGCTCTGAAAGACATGGCGATTGTTATGAAACAACAGAATCGAGCAGAAGAAGCCATTGAAGCGATTAAGTCGTTGCGAAGAAGATGCTCAGATCAAGCTCAAGAGTCTCTCGATAATATCCTTTTAGATCTCTACAAGGTTAGATTTAAAAAAGAAATCTTATTTTTTTTACTTTTCCTACCCTCAAAACTGTTGATTTGATTGAAAATCGAATTTGAATGTGTAGAGATGCGGAAGATTGGATGACCAAATCGGATTATTAAGACACAAATTGTTCTTAATCCAACAAGGAATGGCCTTCAATGGGAAACGAACAAAAACAGCAAGATCTCAAGGAAAGAAATTCCAAGTGTCAGTCGAACAAGAGGCAACTCGGCTACTCGTAAGAACTACGTTTGACTTTGATTTTGACTTTGGATTCGAATTCCAAATCTAAATTTTGTGTGTTTTTTGTTTTTTCGAAGGGGAATTTGGGGTGGGCGTTGATGCAACAGAACAACTACATCGAAGCAGAAGATGCATACAGGAGAGCTTTAGTGATAGCGCCTGACAACAACAAGATGTGTAATTTAGGGATTTGTTTGATGAAACAAGGGAGGCTCGGAGAAGCTAAGGATACTTTAAGGTTAGTGAAACCTGCGGTGGTGGATGGGCCACGTGGGGTGGATTCACATCTGAAAGCATACGAAAGAGCTCAACAGATGTTACGTGATTTGGAATCAGAGATGATGAATAGCGGCGGAGATAGAGTTGAACAGAGGAAACTATTTGATGCTTTCTTGGGTTCTTCCGCCCTTTGGCAACCTCAACCTTGCAAAGAACATTTATCTTCTGCACCTGTACCTGTTTCAAACAAAAAAACCGAAGATGGTTTTGGTGATGAGAATAAAAAACCGGTGGTGGTGGTGGGCCCACCTGTGAATCTCAATTCTAATTCTAATTCACTGAATATCGATGCTAAGCCTTTTTACGTGAAAACCGGTGAAAATGCGGCGGAGGGGCTAAAGAGAACGAGGTCAGTGAACGGAGAAAAGGACGCCGGAGAAATGGAGGTGAAGGCGAGAAGGAAATCAGGGTCGCCGGAGAAAAACGACTGGAGTGGGCTTTTGCCGGACAGTAAGGATTTTGAGGAGGCGATTCTTGCGGCGGTTTTGGGTTCCACGACGACGACGACTGAACCGGAGAAGATGAAGATTGAGACAGGAAAGGTTGTTGGGAGGAAAATTGAGAAAAGGTTGAAGGTTTTTCAAGATATTACTTCGACTCTTAGTCCAAGAGCTTGAAGAATCGAAGATGATTACTGACTTTTAATTTAATGGAATAGGATGATGATGGAGAAGATAGACTTGTTCTTCTCTCACTGAGGTTGGGTAATTTGGTTTGGTGTTAGTTGTTGGAGTGTTTGTGCACCCAACTCATGTTTTTTTTTTTCTTTGTTTAACTTAATTGAAAATTTGCCTTCACAATGTAGGCGATAGTCTAAAACAATAAGCATTGTATCAATCTTATTTATATGAATGCAAATCATGATGATGAGTCTCAGGTTTGGGTTTATTATTATTATTATTATAACATGTATAAATTTAGCACTTTCTGTTGATTTCATATAAGTAACTGAGGATGACCACAGTAGCAGCAACAGCAACTCCTACAGCAGTTTGTGCAAATAATGTAGTCTTTGAGCGTGGTGGGGTGAACCCAAGTTCTGAAAGCTTTTTGTGTGATTCAGCATAGTCTTTGAAAAACACATCTTCATCCTGTGTAAGCTTGAATTTATTTCTATTGAACATTGAATGAATATGATTGAAAAGATATTTTTACCTTTGCATAAAGTTCAACATAGGTACGAAAGTTTGGGTCATCCAGTAAAGCTTTATCAGTGGGAAGTTTCAGCAATCCTTCTGAATCTCCTTTTAGAAGCTCCCTGAATCATTCATTCATTACATGATATTATTTATTGTCAATTTATCAAAAAAGAGAAACTGGATGAATTTTGTGGAAAAAAGATTACTTACAGGAAATAAGAGTTGTCAAACCTGTAAGGATCTTTGGTCCATGGTTTCTCATCAAATCCTGACCTTTCTGGATGTGCCTTTCCCTGAGAGAAATTGTATTAATAAATATTTTATGTTTAAAACATAAAATAAATGGTGTCAAATTTGATGAAAGGAAAACTGACCAAAGTGTGAGCACCAGAAAGTGCAACTATATCTTTGTCTGATAGCCCCATCCTGTAGAACACATCCCTGAGATGTGCTGGACCTGAAGATTATACATACATACATGATACATACATACATACATACATACATACATACATACAATTAAAAACATGAAAAGAAAGTGACCTTGTTTGGCATCAGGAAGACGTCCTTCATTAGGGGACACTTTTGAATCCTGTTAGACCCAATAAATAATAATTATAAGAAACTGATTAATTAAATACTAAAAGGTTAGTTTATTATGTACCTTCCTTCCAGGTTTGAAGTTAATGGTGGGGCCTCCAGTCACCTCAACTGCAACAACTCCAGCAAGCTGAACAACATTTCATCATAATTTTGAAAGTGAGGTGGATTTAAAGTTAAAAGATTCAACGTGTTTGAGAGAGATGATTTGTGGTTTGTATTTAAGCAATGATTAATTAATCACCTGATAGAGATCAGCATATGTAACTCTCGGGTGTTTGGCCTTCACTTCTTCTGTTATTAATGTCACATACATCAATACTGTTCTCAAAAGGGATAAAAAAATATATTAATGTTTATAACATAAAGGCATAGAAACTTACCACAGAGATCAATAGCAATTTTCAAACCAGTGTTTGCTGCATGCATATATTCTTCTTTGTTCCTGATTGATCCATTTGGGCCTCCTGTCTTTGTTTTAGCATCATAAGTCCCTGCATCATGCCATCTGCATGCATGCCTCCAACAAACTCTCAGTTATAGATCGTTAACACTTAAAAGCAATGTTATGTTTTAGGCTTAATCATAAGTCATCTCTTCTGGCAACTACAAAACATAATTATTAGATAATACATTTACTTTGTTGCACAACATCAATGCTATAGTTTTCTATAACATCTATAATCCATATTTTATCATTTGACAGATTAAGCAACAAATGAATGAACTAATTTACATGACAGAATTGGAAAGAAATGTCGATCTCAAGAAGAATAAAGAAACTAATTTAAGAAGCTTGTAAGTAATCGATCAGCAAAGATAGAATAACGACTCTAAGGTCACAAATAATACCTAGGCAACAGAACATTAATTAAGCTCTTAATCTAATAGCTATGCAGATCATAGATCTGAACGTGATTCATGGATTCATACGCACAGAAAAGATAAGAAATCACGTACGCTAATCGAAGCATAATTGGAGCACATTTTTTGTTGGAGATGAGAGCACGAAGATCTCGACGGGCCTTTTCTATCTCCTTCAAATACTCTGCATCCACTACAAGAGCTGCTGCTGCCGCCATTTATGCTTTGGTAAGTTAATTCCTCCCTGAAAAAAACCCAATCACATCAAATTCCTTAGTAATTCAATATACTAACTCTTATCAAACATAACTAAGGTTATTCTTTCTAAAGCTCTAAAATCACTTCAAAATGTACGAAATCTCTTTTGATTTTAACAGAATCATGATTGTAGTACAAAAATCAAACTCGATCTTCGATGAATTTAACAGACTAATGATTTTGATCAAGTTCCGTTAACATGCACCTGAGTACCTGATCGAATCAATAACAGGTTCTTCGTTCTCGTGTTATATATATGGAGAGAGAGAGAATCAATAACAAAAATCAAACTCGATCTTCGATGAATTTAACAGACTAATGATTTTGATCAAGTTCCGTTAACATGCACCTGAGTACCTGATCGAATCAATAACAGGTTCTTCGTTCTCGTGTTATATATATGGAGAGAGAGAGAGAGAGAGAGAGAGAGAGAGAGAGAGAGTAGAAGAAGAAGAAGAAATGAATCAGAAAGAAGACACGCGAAGGATCGAGTATGAGGCGAGGAGAAGAAGAGAATAAATGGAGGGAAACTTATAGGATAAATAGCCAGACTCTTCCTACAGAGTGCATATTTTCGAACACAGAATATTGTACAAATATCAATACGTTGAGTACAACTACTTATAATGATTCCTCTAATTTTAATATTTCCAACTTTGGAAACAATCAATTATGTATATGGATGAGACAAAAACCAAAACCTTATAACAAAACTGAATCAAATGATGTTTGATTTATTTTTTTTCTGATTATTTAGTTATTTGGTTAACCAAATAAAGATACTTCATTTGATTTTGTTTTGGTTAATTTTTATGATTTTGGTTAAACCAAACAAATTGAATAAATATTTAATTAATATATGTTCATATCTATAAATTAACATTTTATATTTAAATTGACAAATAGTTACTAGAAAATATTTTCATAATTCCATATTTAGTTATTAATCATTAAAAATTTATAATTGTTTATATGTTGTATTAAAAAGTAACATAAAATAACTGTTTCCGGCTGGTGTTGGTGGTGTGATCGGACCACATAAATCTCTATGCACGAGTGCTAGCCGTTCTTTACCTCTAAATTTAGTATGCTTAGGATAGGATTTTCGAGCTTGCTTGGAGATCAAGCACGCTTAACACAAGCTTGTAGGAACTTCGATTTTGGGTAAACCTTCCACCATTCTTGTATCCGCCATGTGTTTTAATGCATTGGAGTTAACATGTCCAAATCGTTTGTGCCAAAGCCAAGATGTCTCGCCTTGTTCTACAAGTAAGCATTTCGAAACTTCTTCTTCAAATATAGTTTTGTACAAACGATCGCTTGATTGTTGAACTTTTAATAATAATTTTCCTTGTGGATCATGAATCCATAAATACAATCCAAGTATCACAATTCGATCTCCATGTTGAGCTAATTGTCTAAAGCTAATAATATTGCTACATAACCTAGGCATATAGTATACCTCTTTAAGCAATCTACTTTCACCATTCTTGCATTTGAACATAATTGAACCCTTCCCTTCTATTCACTCTCTAGATGCATCACCAAATTTCACATAACCTTCAGTAGACAGATCAAGGGTTCGAAATTTTCCTTTTTCGTCAGTCATGCGGTTTCTTGCTCCATTGTCGAGATGCCACACTTTTGATTGGGTTGGAGTTTGTTCACTTGATCTTAGCTTGGGATTAACTTTTTCCTCGTTCAAGTAAACTTCATCGTTTACTTGGCTTGCAAACAGAAGTGTCTGCTCATTATCATTTTGTCGTTGAGTTAGGTTGGCTTCATGATTCCTCTCACAATGTGGATTCTTGTACTCAGCAGCGTAATGACTAAACTTTGGATAATTATAGCATTGAAAATTAGAACTGTCATGAGGTTGATACAAGTCATTCTTTCCTTTGTTTTGTTGATTGCCACCACCTCATCCTTTGTTGGAGTTGTTGGAATTGTTGTAACCACCTCTTCCCCGTCCTTGTCCTCGTGTTTCACCACCTCAATTATTATTATAATTGTTGTTCTGTTGTTTTGAATGATCTTCATTATTTTTCTTCTTTGCCCATTCTGACCACTCTTCATGTGTTAACAATAGCTTCTTCTCTCTGGCTTCTTTATGAACCCTAATACGAATCTCATGAGCTTTTAATCTTCCAACCACCTTTTCAAAAGTCATCTCGTCGAGATATCCAAATTGTTCAATTGTTGATGCAAGTTGAACAAATTTGGAGGGTACGGCTCGTACCAACTTTTTCATAATATAAGATTCTTCAACTGTTTCACCAAGAGCTCGAATATTGCTTACAATACCTCTAATTTTTGTAAAAAAATCGCCCATAGTCTCTGATTCACTCATGTTCATCATCTCAAATTCGGCTTTGAGAGTTTGATCTTTGGCTATTTTGACTCGATCTGCTCCCAAGTACATCGTCTTCAGTGTTTCCCAAGCTTCCTTTGTTGTTTGCTTCTCCGCAGTCGTCAATAGAACCTCCTCTGGAATCGCTTGGTAGATAGTTGCCATTGCCATCTTGTCTCTCTTTACACCCACCAAATTTTGTGGGTTCTTTGGCTCTATGACTTCCTAATACCAAATGTTGGTTTAATCTTCTTAAACAATGAAAGTTTAATCTCCTTAACACTTTGTTGTTAATTGTTATTAGTTAACATGAAGAAAAAAAAATAGAAAAGTAACAGGTAGAAAACACAAGCACAAGCACATAGTGGAAGAGATGGAAAATAAAGGAGAATACTTTTTTGCTACTTTATTCTTAAGTTGATTAAAAATTAAAAAGAAAAACCAAATACACCTATTTATAGTTATTCAAAATCATGGCGACTAACTAAACTTGTTGACCAATGAAAACTTCCTAATTTGACTAAACATCTAACTTTCCTTATGTTGCATACTTTTCATATTCCAGATTACACCTACAAGTGGCACAATAGAAAAACATTTAGGATAGTTTCACATCGCTTGAATACATGGAAGAGACGACATAAGGCAGGCAGTCGAATTGAATAAAATGTGTTTTTAAAATCTCGAAACAGGAAAGAAGCTTTAATTGGGTTGATCTTATTCACTAAATCTAATACAAGCAAAGTTTCTACTTCTTAATTAACCTCAAAATTCTTTCTCTACTTTAAAAATGGTTGGTGGAAAAGAGAAGTTATGTAACACTCTGTTCCGAATTAACTCCTAGTCTGAGGTGGAGGCTCGAAGGTCGATCATTATAAGTATTATGGCTCTTGGGAAGGTAAGATCTAGCCCCTTTTGGGTGCGGGTGATGTATTAGAGGTGATCCGGGGGTTTGGTTCATTTTCCGGAGCCTAGGGGTATTTTGGTAAAATGGCAGTTTGGGATTTTATGGAAATTGACTTTTGTTTGGAAGGTATTTAGGAAGATATGAGTTGATATAAGTGTATGGCTTCTCGTTACCTTTCCGTGGATATAAGGATCATCGAAAACGGATATATAACGAAGAAGTTATGGCCTTCGGAAGTTTAGTAGTTTCAGGCTTAGCCGAGTACCCTGGGTGTACTCGTGACGAAGGTAGTAGTACACTGGGTGTACTTTTCGAGTACGATGGGCATACTAACCAGGAGGATCGCAAATGTCCCCGGAGTGCGTTAGGCGTACCATATGTACGTTGGGCGTACTCCAGTCAGATTAGAACCCTATTTTAGGGTCTTGGACCCTATTTAAACTCCTTATCTCATAACCTAACCCTAATATCTTCAGCCTCCACCCCTCTAAACCCTAGAAATTGTCATATATCATCCATGGTGGCATTTTAAGCTTATGGAGTCCATTTTTGGGGTGTTTGACTCATTTTCAAGCAGATGAAGTTTGATGAAAAGATGGGAATCAAGAAGGAGCTTATGGATCTGGCCTTTAGGACTCATTCTCAGCTTGATGAAGGTATAAAGCTTTGAACTTAACCATTGAATGCTTAGATCTATTATGTTGAGTTTTTGGATCTTTTGGTCCCAAGAATGGAGCTTTATGGTTCCAAATCCGTTTTTAGGCTTGGGGTTGTCACCCTTGATGCTATTTGAGTCCCTAAGGCAGAAAGTTTCCATCTTGATGGTCTTAATGGATTCATGCTTGAGTTAGGGTCACTTTTATGAAAGTAGAATGCCATTTTTGGAGTTTGGGTTTGTTTGGGACATGCAAAGTCACCAAGTGACTTTATGGGTTTAGACGTTAAGTATAGCTCAGATCTGTGATTTGGACTTACTGGATCAAGTATTAAGCACTTAATGGATGTTGTACGTGAGCCGTTTGTACGTTGGGCGTACAATGTTGTACGTTGCGTGTACAACTCTTTTTCCTAGTACGCTAAGCGTACAGAAGAGGTACGTTGGGCGTACGCTCTCAGGAGGTTTTGGGCCTTAGTGAACTTTGGAACTTTAGGACCTAATGGTTTTGGGTGTAGACTTACGGTTTGTTGGATCAGAATGTATCTTGAGCTAATGTTGGTATAGTTGGGCACATTGGGCCCTGTGGCCCAATATAGAAATGGACTTCACATTTATGGGCCTAGGATTGGGTCAATTTTTGGACTAGGTTATTGTGGGCCTTCGTAGGCCATTTGGGTCAGGATTATTGACTAAGTAGAATATTGGGTTTTAGTATAAGGTCTACTAGAGAGGTCTAGGCCTAATTTTGAAAATTGGGTCATTGATGGTTTGTGGACATTATAATGTTGGGCTTTTGTTTGGGTTTGGGCCT